TTAACAATATTTCAAAAGCAAATCAAACAACGAAACAATGCATTTTATACAGTTTTTATGGGGTTTTTTTTTTATATTTTATACAAAAATTTGGTTGTAATATGTATATATAAATATAAATTGGGGGCCTCTTCAAAGTGAGAGAGAGCGATAAGGGAACGGCTACTTCAACTACCATTAGACTGTCTCTAATCCTAGGCTAGAAGTGAGTTAAAAAGTTAAATTTTAGATTCCCCATTAGGCGAAAAGTTAAATTTTAGCTCCCTTCCCCTCAAAATCCAATCCAACCCAACCTAAAACTTGGACCTAAAAACTAAAAGCTAAAAGAAACCCAAATTCCGCCCAGCTTTTAGCCCAAGATTGGGCGTGGACCCCACCAGTGTGCTTGAAAAGTGGGCTGTGAACCCACATGCCGATCCCTCACTTGCCCAACGCACGGCACGCGCCAGAGACAATCACAAAGGGACCCCACCCACTTGGGCTTGTCTCCCGCATGTCAGCCCAGTCGGATAGCCTAACGGCTGTATTTGTGATCCAACGGCCTAATTTAAATGAGCCATTGATTAATCCAACGGCCTAGATTCAAACTTTTTTTTTAGTTTTATATTTATATAAAATTTAACGGCTAAGATTCAATATAATCAAATCTAACGATAAAAAAAAATGATTCAACAGTTAATTTGTGTTTATACATTTGTATCATGATTTTCATATGCTTACATAGTGTTTCATGAGTTTCATGTATCGATTTAGTGATTTTTCAATAATTATCGGAATTTAAATATTTTGGGTTAAAATGTTCATAAAATTAATTTAGAATAGTCTACATAATTTTATTTTTTTTTAAGTCAGAATGGTTTGAGCAGAAAAAATGTTTTTGGGCTAAAAATATTAAGTTTTAGGCCTAGGGTTGGAGATGGTCTTAGGGTCGACCTTGCTCCCTTCCTTTCTCTTCTCATTTAGGTCACCATAGCCACCACCTCCAACATTCTACTTTAGGTCCGGGATAAATTGACGAGGACGAACAGCAAGAGAGAAAAGTCTGCCTCTTTTCTCTCATAGTTTGAGGTGCATGGATTTTAGATCCAAAATCGACGAGAGGTATCTGGCCCGAGTTTTAGAAAGTAGGGGAAATGGCCAGCGAAATCGTTGGCACTAGGGATAGGCAACAGTTATGGCGGGCAGGTAACCGCGGTTATTTATTCATAACTGTTTATGTTCATACCCGCATAACCGTTTACCCGTTGGATAATTGCATAAACGGTTATACCCATACTCATAACTGTTTATAAACGGTTAACCATACTTATAACCGTGTACCCATTTAATCATAATTGTTTACCCATTTAACCATAATTGTTTACCCATTTACCCTTTTTTGAACCCGTTTATCATTTTTTACCCATTTATCCATTTTTTCACCCGTCTACATGTTTTTTTTAACAACTTGAAAATTACAAAAGAAAAATTTGTCATAATTTTCATTTTCTGACAATTAAACACCGTTATAGGTACATTTTTGCATGCATTTCTCTATTTTTATCATTTAAGTCCTCATACAATTCCAATAATTGAAATATAGTTTACAAAAGATATTTTTCTGCTACACCCAAGCAAGTCTTTAACTATAATCCATATGATTACAAAGTAAAGCTTCTAAAAACAAAAAGTAGTCATTATCATGAATACTAGATGATTCAAAGCTCCAAAATATTCCGAAACTAAACACTTTCGAACACTAATACTTTAGCACGTTCAATCACAAAGTCTCATCAACTCGTTGTCACCAAAAGAGGCCTATAAAAGAAATGTATAAATTGAATTACTATCCCATTTAGGAACACTGACACCAATTAGCATGAATCCAACAGAGGTAAGTGATCACAGAAGGTTTACATTGTACGCTCAATTATCAAAAGAAAAAAAAAAAGCAAACAAAAGCGGAGTACCAAATCAGTTGAGTTAGTATCACCATTCATCAATGTGCATAAACAGAAGGTTTACATTCCATGATTTTTCACACCTATATGCATAAATTGAATTAGTATCACCAATAACTCCAAAGTAAAAAACAAAAATGGTGCACCGACTTTCAAGTTTAGCAGCAAATCTTTGTCATCTGAACCACACTCCAACTCCCTAAGACCATCTTCAATCCTGACCTAAAACCTAAAAATATTTAGCCCAGAAAATTTAGGTTTTAGCCCAGAAACAACTTTTCTATTCCAACCCTTTTGGCCTAAAATTTTAGCCCCAGATTATTAAAAAATGAATTAAGGCTATTTTTTTAAATTAACTTTTAAAAAAAATAAAAATATGTAGACTATCATAAATTAATTTTATGAACATTTTAACCTAAAAATATTTAAATTCCGATAAATTTTGAAAAATCACTAAATCAATACATGAAAATCATGATAAACCACATAAACTTAAAAAAAAAAATTATTCTAGCCGTTGGAAAAAAATATTTAAATTCCGATAAATTTTATAATTATTCTAGCCATTGGATTTACATTTGGACCGTTAGATTTTTTTTTACCGTTAGATTTGATTATATTCGATTTAAGCCGTTGGATTCAATAAATATATAAATATAAAACAAACAAAAAAATTGAATGTGGACCGTTGGATTAACCAACGGTCCAATTACCACCACTACCCGATGAAGAAAAGTAGTCATTGGCAGGACAAGACCTACTTTTCACTCTCATCCGTGGGTCCCAGCACCTTTTGTGGGCTAAATTTGTGACCTATATTTGCCTTCATTTTAAGTTTTAGGTTTTAGGTTTGGTTTAGGTTTGGGTTGGAGTGGATTATGGGGGAAAAAAAGGAAAATTTAGGTTATAAGTCACCATTGGAGATGGTCTAATTAACCCCTACTATCCAGCAAGCAAGCAAATGAATTAAAGAAAAAGGTATGCTGGTAATACCGCGGGTTGAGACTTTGAGTTCGGCAGAGAGATTGAAAATTTAGGGTTTTAAATTTTTTTACATATATTAAATTAAATGGGTAAATGGATACCTGTTATAACCGCAGGTAATACCCATTACCATCCATTTAAATTTCACAAATAAATGGTTATACCCATAACCGTTTGTTTATCTAAACGGTTACCCATAACTGTAACCGTGAACTTTAAATGGGCGGGTAACCGCAGTTACCCAAACCCATGGGTATTTTGCCCATCCCTAGCTGGCACAGAGTGATCAAGGAGGGTGGTGGAGAGAGAAGGTACCGGGGTGTATGATGATTATTTTTTTTTTTTTTTTTGAGAAGTTGCCTACCAAACAAGTTCTTGAATTTAAAAAATTTAAATCAAAACTTAGAATATTTTTATAATATATATATATATATCAAATTTTTTAGTCAATTCTCAAGTAGGATTGTTTGGGCCCAAAATAATAGTTTGGGCCGAGTATAGAATCATTCTCGGCCCGGAAGGCCTTGCGACAAGAATACCATGGATCGTTTAGTACGTGGGCCTCCAAACCTAGGTCGGCTAGGTCATAACGCAAGAAGTCGAGTCCTAATGCAATGAAGAGTCTCGGCAAGACCCGGAAGCGAATCCGGCTCGGTTAAGGACTAGGTTCACAATCCTAGTGAAAGTAGGACTGGTCGAGTTGGTGCTGATCAGGAGAAGAAGACCTAGTCCGAGTAGGTTTTTAACTCAACCTTGGGGGGGGGGGGGGCGTTGCTATAAATAGAAGAGACTGCGCATCATTCAAACCCCCCTGCAAATCAATACAAAACTGCCCTGCGCAAACTCTCAACAACTTGAGATTTTTTCCTTCTTTTTCGCTGACACATCTTCCGTTGGCATCAACAGCACTGTGGAAGCAACCGGTGATATCTTAAGTCGGCATAGATAGCTTTGTCACCGTAGAATCAGTCGATCTCGCAATGTCTTCCGTTGGCATCAACAGCACTGCGGCGAGAGCGGTTGATTACCTATCCAAGTCTCGGTGGAGAAGGATTTCTGAATCCTTATTGATTGAGGTCATCTCATTAGCCTTCTCGGCGAAGTGAGGTGTTACGGTATATCGAGCTCGGCGCTTTGCTCGCCGAGTTATTTTATGATTGGATATTCCCAAGTGGGATTTAGAGTTCGGCATTCGGACGGCCGAACCACGTTTACCATCAAGACTTATATCTGTTTTGAGTATTTGTGCCCTTACACTTTGGTGTCGATTCGGCGAGAGTTTACTCTGACGAATAACATCACTGTGATCGAATCCGACGACGACGATTCGTGAACTTCGTAAAGAATAGTAACCTTGTCTTCAGGTTCGAGAACCCAAGAGGCCGAGACGCGTTCCTTCCTCGGTCGCAATCGCAAGACGTAGAAGTTAGCCGCGCACCCAACGCAACATCAACAAAATTACTCCTCGGCCGACGAGTTGGCACGCCCGCATTCACCGAAGGACGTAGTTAGCTTATAGATTACTCGACTTGCGCGCCACGTAGGCTTGGTAGTTTCTAGGGTCAACAAGAATACAAAGGGGCTCTCAAGAATGTGTATCCAACTTGGAAAACCAAGTAACTCTACAATTGTAAGCAAGCAAGCAGATTTATGCGACCAGTGCCGGCCTTCATTTCTTACATTGTTTTAGCCCTCCTAGAGGTCACATTAGATCAGATATATTTACAATTGTTTGAAAACTGTAGCCATAAATCGTGTCGCTGCGAATCATGTCACCACAAACATTGTTAACTCTGGCTTACTGCTACTGGTCTAAAACAAGCAGAAAAAACCCAAGTGCCGATCTCTGAAACACATCCAATCTTCTTCCGAAGAATCTTTCGCAGTAAAGTAATCATCCATAGATGAAATCAAGGAACTCATTTTGTTTTTATCTCATACATTCTCGACTTACTTGTTGATTGACTGACTAAACAAGTTTAATTAATCTTCTTAAAAACTTTGTAGTTGCAGCCTCGATCGGTCGAACCAAAGACAACATCGTCATCGTGTACACAGAAGACAGAAAGCAACTCCGTAACCAACTACCACTTCATCTGGCAATATTAATTTTGCTCTACTTTCTTTCTCTTACTTGAGTTCACAAACCCTAAACCCCTCCGTCTCTCGACATGCAGAAGCGATTTCGGCAAGTTTTCACAGCTCTAAGAGAGCACAGCTCCGTGAACTATGCCAAAATCGCTATGCTTGGAGGGTTTTGCAATGTCGAACTCATCATCATAAAAGCCACTGCTCCTGATGACTTGCCATTGCCCGAAAAGTACATTCAGGAGCTCTTGAAAATCTTCTCCATTTCCCCGTCTTCGTTAAGAGATTTTTTACTCAGCTTCGCTCGCCGCTTTGGCAAGACACACTGCTGGCGGGTTGCACTCAAGTGTCTAATTCTACTCCACCGCCTACTCCGTTCGGTGCCTGAAGACAGCAACTTCCGGTCTGAGCTCCTTTGGGCTCAATCCAACGGTTTGATGTCTCTCAATCAGTGTCACTTCCGCGATGATTCTTCCTTGGCTTCTGCCTATTACAGTGCCCTTATTAGATCGTACGCTCAGCTCCTCGACGAAGCTCTTCATTGCTATTGGTTGGATTCCAAGGCAGCCTACGACCAGCAAGAACAACGACAATATGAAGAATATCGCGAACAAGAAGAAGAATACGAAGAAGACGGAAAAGAAGAAGAAGAGCCGGAACTTGAGAGCTTATCCAATAGAATGACGGAAGTAGGTCGAATGCTTGAAGTGTTGCCGCAGCTGCAAACCCTCATTGACCTTGTCATGGACTGCCGTCCCACAGGACCAGCAGCCAAAGCCTTCCTCGTCCAACTCGCCATGAAACACATCATCAGAGACAGCCTCATGTGCTACAGAATCTTCTGCAGCGAAATCGTCACGGTTCTGGACAGTTTGTTTCAAATGCCATACAGGAGTTGCATTTTGGCTTTCGGCATTTACAAAAAGGCAGCCGTCCAAGCAAACCAACTCAGCGAATTTTACGAGTGGTGTAAAGCCATGGGACTCTGCGGATCGTACGAGTATCCCTTCGTTGATCAAATCCCACACATACAAATTCACGCTCTCGAGAATTTTCTCAACGGTATGTGGCAGTTGACGGAGTCCTCATCCACACCAACTTCGCCAATTTCTTCGGCCTCGGTGCCGTCATCTTTCGTGGAGTTTTCAAGTTCCAGCACTTTGACAGAGGACGATATTAAGGATTTTGTATTTATGTCACAAAAGGAGCATATTCTTGTTAGTACAAAATGGGAGAAGTCGTTGATTCAGTTCGAAAGAGAAGGTTACAACGAGGAGAAGCTGTTGATTCAGTTTGATGAGGAGAAGCCGTTGATTGAATTCGAAGATGATATCGTTGACGAAAGCTGGGAAAGCCTGCTTGATGCTTCCATTAACAAGTCTCCTGCTGCTGAAACTCAACAAAACAATGTATGGCAGATGCAAATATACAACCCCAATGCTCTAAATCCTTTCCATGATTCCATCAGCCAGTCATCGGGCCAAATTACCATGGGGACTATAACGTTTGCTGTGCCCAAATTTAGATGAAAAATGCAGGCTTTATATAAATATTGTAGGAATTATGCAAATATTGGTTTCATTTTTTGACGGAGTGCCTTTATTGACATCCAACTTTTGGTTTAGTTCATCCAACAAAATAATTTTGTCATTATAATTCCCAATTTGAGTAACCACGCTGAAGAACTTCCATCCGTTGCATGCTATGAAATTTGAATTCGCGAAACTCACCATACATACAGTTGGCTCTGATACCAACTAATACAGATACGGAAGCGCACACATCAAGTTATCAACAATAACTGCACATTAAAACGGACATAAAGGGATTAAAACGCAGGGAACCCCTTGAAGGTCAAAGAGCAATATATTTAATAATAGAGTAATGCTAGAAATACCAAATTTTTTAAACATATGAGGTGTCACCAATAAGAAACAAGTACATTAATCGATACTTAATTAATAATCAAATTATCTACAACCACATCATTTAATTTGCAAATTTGGTTTTAAAAATTTGGTCTACCTAACATTACTTTTAATAATAATATTAATCAAGGGATTAGATTTTATTATACGGGATATCTTGGGGAATCAATCAACTGTTACATGTTCGTAAATCTTTACAAACATATGAAGTGAAACATGAGGAGTTTTACACAGCTTTATGGTTTACAGTGTAGTGTTAATGTAAGAATATGAGTATGAGATAGAGAAGTTTTAGGACCAGTTATAGGTATTCAATTTGGATAGAAAGTCCTATTGATGAAAGGAATGTTGATCCTTGATTGAAAAGGATTTTGGTTAGCATCAGGAAACAAGTGTTTGTTTCCGATGAGGATTTTGATAGGAAATCCTGATCTATTTTGGTGAACTCTATATGTATATATATAGTGATCTCTCTTCTCACAGAACTAACGCTCATATTGGACCATAACCTATCTGTGAGTCGAGCTCTTGACAATCTGCAAGAGAAGAGAAGGATCACTGAAAGTTTGCTGCAATGGCTACGAGTTCTGGTGCAGCTGCAGGTATGTTTTCCTTTCTGGTTATTTATGTGCACATAACTGGGTTGGTTTCCTTTTGTTTGTGGTTCATGTTTTGGTCTTGGTGTTTGTTTGTTTACAAGTTCCTACATGTGGTATCAGAGCCACAAGACACAAACATGAGTTCAAATCTGTAAAGGAGAAAAGTCGAATGTGTTTATAAATAGATAAATAAATTTTGCGACTTCCAGGTTTCGAAACTGGTTTAAACGAATTTGCTGGAAAAGAGTTTCACAAAAACGACATTGCGTTTTCAATATGCAGAGAATTAATAAAATAAAATTGACCGTCAGGATTTTTGGGGATTGATATGTGGCCAATTGCTGGTGCAAACCTCAATGTTTTCATCTTAGATGCATCGGTGGTATGTGATCTCCAGATAATGACAAAATATATTTAAACTATTACCATTGGTTTTTTTTCTGCAAATCTATTGGTTGAGGTTGTTTTCTCAATTTGGGGTTTTGATTAGCAACTTCATCGATCAAAACATGTTCTAGGTTTTGTGATTCTCTCAACTCTTAAATTAATTTTTTCAATTTGGATAATTATTTCCGTTGCGCTGTTCCAAATTGAAATCTGCAAGAGGTATGTATTGATATTTCTGATTAGAGCTGATAATCAAGGCTGAATTTTTCCATATATGCGGAAAAATTTTGATTTGCATTTTCTACTGATGGTTTTTGTGTTTTTCTTAAACAACCATGAAAAATGATCATTATGCATGAGACGTCTGTTGATGCCTGTTGTTGCATATGTTGTCTATAAGTCTGCAGTGATTAAAAGGTATGATTGCTTTTAATTCTTTCAATACATGTGTATGTTTTAGCGTATATGAATCTGCTTTGCTTCTGCAGATTATGTGAATCAGGTATAAATCTGGTATGATAACAATTTATATTATGCTGCACGTGGGAAAGGGTGAACTTATTCTTGCTTGCTTCTTTGGAGATCAATAAAGTGATTTAGCAAAACACATTTATCTTAAACATCATAGTTCTAATTTTGAGAATTATTGCTTCCGCTGTGTTCATTATGATGTCTGAAGATTGAGGTAGCTGTGGTTTCTTAATCCTTTATATGAATAAAGATGTGCATAAAATATGCTTGACCAAATATTAGTAAGATAAAAGAAAGATGAAATCTTGATTATGACGACATTAATAAGTTTTTGTTTGTCTAAGAGATATTAACGTTCATGGTTTGTCTTTTTTTGTGGGAATTTGGGTCGACGGGATTCTGGTCGTCGCTTTGGCGATGATTTTGGTTCGGCGCGTCTGTAACCATGGCAATCCGTATGGATGGGTCTCGAGCATTGATGGATAATTTGTTTCGTTGATTTGGAGCAAAGGAATTGCAATCTGGTTGTCGAATACGAGTCCAATGATGCATTCAGGTAACTCAGTTCACTGTTTCATGCATAATTAATTGTTCTCCTATATGCGTGATTATAGTGCGATGAGTTGGAGCATAATGAATTAGGGCTTTTGCTATTCCGAGTATGCTTGTTTATTTTGTGAAGGCACAATTAAACTCGAAGTCCCTATAGATGCCAACTTATGATTTATGTGAGATGACTGGAATCATTCTTTCTGCATAAAGATTCATTAGACTAATATTTGGTGTACACATTGCTCTTCTATTTTTGAGTTAGAGCCTGTGTAATTAGATTGGGTGGAAAATATTGTTTTGTTGCTATTTTTGTTGTCTCAAGCAGATGTAAGATTTCTCATTAACTTGCTTGAAACTTGAAAGCTTGCATCATGATTTTCCATTATGAATTATGATAATAGAATTTGACTTATTGTTGCTACCAAATACCTGTGGCTTTTATGTGGGTCTGATTGGTTTGAATTATTCTAGAAAAGCAAAATTGGATTATACGAGTATCCATAATGACGTTTTTAAAATTATGAGTGTAATTCATATCCCAATTTTGGTTAGACTATATATAATAGGTTTTGGGGGTGTTGCCATATATGTGAATGATGTAGTTCAGAATTTTTGGGTTCGTTAATGCCAATATCTGCACTGTATAACCAAAAACATGTGAAGGCTCTTGTGTTAGTACCTGTATGAAATGATATAAATTGTTTAGTGAAACCTTGTTGGCAAGAATGTATTCTGAAACTCATCTCACTTGATATATTGTAAGTGTAAGAGATTTGATATTATGTATTAAATCTATAAGTACACTAAATTTTATTGGATGATCATCTTGATTATCTTGTTTTAATCAAGATGACTTATGCCTTTATATCCAGACATTATCAAAATTTAGTTGATCTTGCTCGATGGGTATTGAACTAGTTAGGATCAAATTGAATGCAAGAATATTGTGCTTGCTATTCTGATTTTGATTATTGTTGAAACTGGTGATTTTGGGTTTATGTGAGATAAGTTTTTCCGAATGGATTGTGACTATCTTTTGATACATAGACTGCTTGCATAATGGTTTAGGTGTATTTGACTAAACTGAGATTATGCAATTGGTAAGGAATCGGGAATCAATTGGTTGATATCTCCGGTTTCTTTATTGGCTGTGCAGTTCATTCTGCTTATGCTTAAGTGGGAGAATCATATGTTCGAATGTAAGCATAAGGTTATTTAGGCCGGCCATTATAATTCATTTGGATGCTTGAAAACCAGATTATGGTTTTATTGAAGCAATTGGTAATTATTTATGTTACTTAATTTGTTTAAGTAATGAGAAGTTTAGTGCTATTTGCTGGAACTAAACTTAACTTGATATAGTGGGAGCAAATCAATTTATGTGTTTGTTCTGGTCAAGTAAAATCACATTGTTGTAAATACAAATTGGATGAATGTGATCATGGAATTTGTTTGCATATTGGTTGCGGCAATTGATCACATTGATAAGACATTCAGTGTATTGCAATGACTGTTAGTTAATATAGTTGATATTAACTTATACTTAACTTGTTTGTGTTAAGTATAGCCTAGATAAGTGGGAGCAAATTGGTTTGGTTTTTGCTATATTGGTTCACATAATTACAAAGTGCAAATTAAGTATGTTGTGACTTTTGAGTTAATTCTGCGATGTAACAGAAAAAATTCTTAAGTTCAATACTTTAAAATGCATGGGTAAGTTGTATGTGAGGTTAAGCTTTTGTTATCCAAAAGATTTGGTGGCTATATGAGTGGGAGTAGACGTCTTGGTTTACTTTTGAGCTTAGATACATTGCTATGAACATGAACTGGACATTGTGATTTGTAAGTTAAATCTGTATTTTGTGTTGCAATTATAAATTCATTGTTTTGGTTTATGTAAGCTGGTTGTGTCTATGTACTTGTGTGTTGGTGAATGACTTAATTATGTGATCACCTTTATAATAATTTGAGATGATTATCTGTTAGTGATCACTTCTATCTAAGTATGATTGGATAAACTGAGTACTTGAAACTGTTCTCATACTCAAGTGGGAGAATGTAAGAATATGAGTATGAGATAGAGAAGTTTTAGGACCAGTTATAGGTATTCAATTTGGATAGAAAGTCCTATTGATGAAAGGAATGTTGATCCTTGATTGAAAAGGATTTTGGTTAGCATCAGGAAACAAGTGTTTGTTTCCGATGAGGATTTTGATAGGAAATCCTGATCTATTTTGGTGAACTCTATATGTATATATATAGTGACCTCTCTTCTCACAGAACTAACGCTCATATTGGACCATAACCTATCTGTGAGTCGAGCTCTTGACAATCTGCAAGAGAAGAGAGGGATCACTGAAAGTTTGCTGCAATGGCTACGAGTTCTGGTGCAGCTGCAGGTATGTTTTCCTTTCTGGTTATTTATGTGCACATAACTAGGTTGGTTTCCTTTTGTTTGTGGTTCATGTTTTGGTCTTGGTGTTTGTTTGTTTACAAGTTCCTACAGTTAAATGAGAGTGGTGGATCTCTTGTGTAACATGTTGAGGTAAAAAACATTGGAGATGAGGATGTACTCGTGAGCAACAACCATTCAGTC